ATTAGTAAGTCATTACAGAGTGGTTTCACAACAGCCATGCACTGTAGGCAGGAACAGCCCTGCGAAATGAATTTCCAACTTTTTGGGAATTCCTAGAGAGTTCTAAGAAYTCTTAGGAATTCCCAATGATTCTCAAATATGCAAATTAAAATCTAGCACTTGACTTCTTTAAATAGATTAGAATTCTTGGAATCATACCTTCATGATTGAGAAAAGCTGGAAAAGTTTGAGAATATTATCATACTATAGATCAGATCTGAGAATTCTTTGGAATTCTTGAGAATTTATTCTCTGACTTTATTAGTTAAAGCAGTTTAACTTACATTGTTGAGGCTATACTCAACAATATTTTTCTTTTCTTTGTTTCCGTGCGTGCGTGAATATGTTAGACATTTTTTAGACTCAATTAATTCGTTTTCCTTTGGGAACATTAACATGCACAGAATTAGATTTCTAAGTGCTGGCACAGAGTTACTTTGCCTGTCGTGGTGAGAGTGTGAACGTTATTTTTCGATGGAATCTAGCTAGATTACTTTTCTCTTTTTGGACGACCTTCACCTGTAAGTATTGTAAGCTTCTCGTATTTAGTAACATTACCTTCTGACACTAATTTGTATTTTAAGGAATTCACTACATAATAAACCAAAAGGCTGTACTTCGAATCAGGTCGGGTCCTTACATCCAATGTTATGACTTGCTTATTTTTTATGCAATGTTTTTACATAACAAGAAATACAAGAAATATCATTTCCCAAAGGATAATGTGTTGCCCATGCTCATGTCCTTCAACATGGCTGCSATAATTGAAACCACTCTATCTTATTACAAATTATACTTTAAGTGACTCTCAATCGATTTCTTATAACTCCCCAAATAATTTCTAGTTCTATAAATAAGATAATTATTGTATTGACTGCGTTTTATTATACAAATTTTTATTTCCTAGTTAAAGCTATTGTTGACAGTCTATTTTTATAGTAAAAATTGGACCCAATGACACTGTAATATAAAATTAGATATAAAATAAAGTGAAGTAATAAGACTGACTCACTAATGCACGTTGTCTAACTAAACTATAAATTGTAATTGTTAATAAATGCACATAGTGTGACTGTATAAGTTTTGTAAATTAATCCTTAAACATGGATCTTAACCACTAAACTATAAAGTTATAAAATGTTTATAATAATGCATTATTGAATATTGCTGACCTCCATCTAGTATTGTACAGGCTTTGATTCTAGTCAGTGTTGATTGTCTAATGGTACCCTTGTCTTAACATCATTAACACTTTTCTATCTGTATACTGGTCTCTTGTATCAGCTGACCTTGATCTAAGTATTGTACAGGCTTTGATTCTAGTCATGCAGTGTTGATTGTCTAATGGTACCCTTACCTTAACATTATTAACACTATTCTATCTGTATACTGGTCTCTTGTATCAGCTGACCTTGATCTAGTCTTGTACAGGCTTTGATTCTAGTGAGTGTTGATTGTCTAATGGTACCCTTGTCTTAACATTATTAACACTATTCTATCTGTATACTGGTCTCCTGTATCAGCTGACCTTGACCTAGTATTGTACAGGCTTTAATTCTAGCCAGTGTTGATTTTCTAATGGTACCCTTGTCTTAACATTATTAACACTAATAATCTGTATACTAGTCTCTTGTATCAGCTGACCTTGATCTAGTCTTTCATTATAGTCAGTGTTATATAGTTTATTGTCTTAATAATATTATCACTTTTTCGTTCGGTTCTTGTGGTAGTTCATTCTGTGATCCTGAAAAGTAAAACATCAGCAAAATAATTTACAGAAGTGTGATACAGTTGACATGGTTCAGTGCTTCTTTGGAAAAAGAGGGATTGTAGGCACTATAGAGTGTTTTCACGTGACGTCACAGTGGCCATGTTGGTGTACCAGAGCAATATATTTCCTATTCTTGGGGAATTGAACTCTATTTTTATGCAAAAACTGCGCAGAAAGTATTGTTCGGTACACCAATATGGCTGCCTTGTCACGCGAGTGAAGACGCTCTATTAGGGATTGTTCATTTTGTGGTGATGGGAGTAGGCTTGGGCGTGGATTTAAGGGGTCATGAAACCTACTGCAGCAAAAAGGGGTCACAAAACCATCAGGGTCATCAGATGGAGATTAGGGTCTGATTTTTCATTTCTGTTGCATTAGCAACTCTATGGTTTATCCACACCCCAAGCCCAACCCCCAAAAGTTAAAGCAAACGAGGGAGAACAATCGTCTAATTATTAAAAATATTCATGAATCATACCTTGTGTTAACTGCAAATCATCCCCTTAATACTTGCTTAATCTCTTCTCTCGTCTGATCCCATCCATGAGTGGTTACAGCCTTGTAAACTTCCATCACAAGATTTGGAAAATATTCAAAGAACACAAACTTTTTCAGCAACAGATCTTGAATTGACTTTGGTAATTCAGTCACATGTGCATAAGCATTTCGTACGAAACGTACCAACTCTACTACAGAGTTCGTTTGGTATGTTCTTCTTGTTGTCATTTTAGTGTAAATGGCAGGCAGGTTAACATAACCTGGGTCATTCCAATCCACATACTTGACTATGGTACCAAAGCTAGACTCCAAGTCAGTCTCTACTGCAGTCAAAGGAAGAGTCCTCTTAGCACGTGGGGATCCAAATTCCTGTTGATTGCCGACAGCATTGAGAAGTTCCAGTTTTTTTTTTCTTTGACCAGAAAAAAGGATGATCCAATGCCTTGTCTGCAGATGGTCGTTTATTTTTATCTCCATCAAACATTGCCTTAAGGAGATGAGCTGCTTCAGGGCACAGAGAGTCGTCCCATCCTTCCATGTTGCCATTCAATATGTTGACTTCAGTCTCGTATTGTAGTGCCCATATTCTGGGGGCAAACGGATGGGTTTTCATTGACAAAATGTAATGAAGAACGAGACCACAGGCAAACACATCAGATGACTTAGAATGACCTTTTGTAGAAGTTAGCACTTCTGGAGCAATCCAACATCTTGTACCAACATTAGAACCATACACCGAGGTGCTAGAACCAATGTTATCCATACGACGGCTGAGACCAAAGTCGGCAATTTTCAAGCATAGTTTAGGATGTGTTTTATAAAGGATGTTTGTTGGCTTGAGATCTCGATGAACGATGCCTTGATCGTGTAGGAATTTCAGTCCTTGAACTATATCTTGGCAGATTGAGACTTTAATATCCATTTTTATTGCAGTATTAAGGAACTGGTCAAGATTTCCTTCCATCAGTTCTAAGACAATGTAAGAAAAGTGTTCGTCTTCAAAGAAAAACAAATAACGAACAACTTGTTCGCAGTCTGCTAGAGCAGTGAGATTTATTATTTCTCGTTTTTCTTCTGGTCGTTGCATACGTATCTTCTCAATACGTTTGATGGCCACCTCTCTTCCATCTTTCTCGTGTATGCCTGCAAACACAGCACCAAATGCCCCGCGTGCCAAATAGTCTTTGTGGTACCAGTACGGTTTTATATACGTGCTAGCTTTCCCTTCCTCGTGCTACTTTGGCCAGTTTGTCTTTTTGCATCTTTGAAGTCGATTTCCATGCTTTAATCAGTAAGGGAAGTTTATCATCATCTATCGGCTTCAGGAATAGTCGTTTAAGTTTAGGGCATCCTTCTGCTATGTCCAAACAGGACTTACCATTGGAATCAGGAATATTATAGTCAGCTTTGTATAAAAGAAGATTTTCAGCAATCGCCCAGTGGACATCATCAACATCATGTGGATTCCTGACGATATTCCTGCAGCAAAAATGGAGTGGTGAATCTTCTCCTTCCTTTCCTAGCACCACACACTTTCTTGATCCTAAGAGGATTTGAACAAGATTAATTTTCTCATGAGCACGTGTTGATTTATCTTTGCATAGAGCACACAGAAGAGAAAAGATGATATCGTTAGCAGAATCAAGGCTGATGTCTTGGCAAGCAAATTCAATCATGCCTTTTGCAAGATCAAAGCATCGTGCTTCAATCAGAATACTCATCACAGATTCACCATGTTTATCAACTATCCACGGATCAAGACCTTTTTCCAAAACGGCCATTTTCCAAAACTCTTTTGGCTCATGTAGGACATCTTGGTAAAAAAACCCAAGATTTGGAAAAGACTTTGTGTATTTAGCTGCAACGAGAAGAGGCGGACGTCCTGATGAATCCACGTCGTTAGGGTTCGCTCCAGCATCCAGCAAAAGTTCAACAGCAGCCCACGTTCTGCAGAGATGTAGAGGTGTTTCCCCATTTTCATTTTTGACATGCAGTAGTTCTTTGTTTTCTCTGAAATGGTCCAAAATTATTTTCAAAAGGCCTCGGAAGATATGTCCTCCACTAATATTGCTGGAGTAATTTTGTCTTGGTGCTAATTTGAGCTTTGCCCAAAGATGAAGAGGCGTGTTTCCACTGTTATCTTGGGTATTAATATATACTTCTTGTCTCTTCAGTGCTTTAACAAATACTTCCAGTAGCTCTAGGGCAACATCAGAAACGTCTTTTCTCGATTGACTATTACGTTTCAAAAAGCCATGGTGAAGAAGTTTTATGCTTAACTGCAAGACATTCTCTCCACTCCTAGTTTTTGCTTCAACACTGGATCCATGTTCTACCAGGAATCGACAGACAGCTCCTAGTGTCTTGACAGCTGGCCAGGGTTCTTCCTCACTGGACGTCTTCTCGATGGTTTTGGATAAACAAAATATAAGTGGAGTTTCGTTTTGGTGATTCCTTATGTGGAACGATGCATTAAGCGTCTCGACTAGTTGTTGACATATTTCCATGACAGTTTCTTTAGTTACACCATGAAATGCTAGTTGAGTTGCATGGTGAAGAGCAGTGTTCCCATCTGAATCTGTGGTGTTAGGGTTGGCACCCAATTTAATAAGACGTCGAATCACTTTGACTGCTGCTCCGGACTCAATCAGTTGTTTATCGTGGCTATCTTCATGGATCATTGTGAAGATCTCACTTATCGTTTTGATTTTCCCCACAGGAACATTGACTTGAAAAAACTTAAGGTTTGAAGCATTTTCATTTGCTATCCTCATTAAATGAGAAAGAGAATCCACGTCGATATCACAAGAACCAGGCTTGAAGTACAGCGTTTTACAGAATGCAACACTCGCTATAGCTCCCAAAATTGTGTTTCTTTCCACCTCTTTGCAGTCAGACAGGAGATTGAGTCCATCTTGCAG